CTCCTGTCCTGTAATTGAAATCAAAAACGTTTTCTTCATACCGATTCTTTATCTTGTAATTCATACTTTCGAATACAACAGACAGTCGGCATTACCAAACTAATACCTTATTCCTATTAGTCTGTTGTATCGAGAGTCAGCTGTAATATAATACTACTAAATGAGTTGTAACGAGTAGAAATGTTTGTTTATGATTATATCGGGGTTCGTAATGGCGAGGAAAGCGAAATAAATTGCCCTAGTTAGTGTTCCCAATACCTTTAGTGTTTTGTTGCCTGAATTTCAAAGTTAGGTATAGTTCGCTGACCCTTTTTATACTGATACTCAGTATCAGTATATAAAGCTAGTATAATATCGGCTAATAATACAAATTACCCTGGATACAGCGAACTCTCTAAGCACTGAGTTAAATCGTGCGCAAATATTATCAACTGTAAATATTATATGAAAATAATAGGAAGAACTGACAGACTCGTTCACTACATCGAGTCTGCTGTGTATTATTAATTAAGAAAAAATTATGTGTATATTTACACGTAATTTAAAGATGTTTTGTTATATTTTTCGTTAGTAAAAAAACAACAATTTTCTATTTATTAAAGTAAAAACCATATAAAGAAGTTTGTATTTTTTTTTATTTATATAATAGAATTATCCATGTTTATAGTTTAATCCGTTACATTGCTTATACCGTTACAATATACAGTAGAGTCTGTATAGGCCGACACATTGACGCAGGGAAATTTTAGTGTGTACTGCTAGTCTGTAGTGGTAAGTGCGGTCAGCAAAACAGTTACAATAGTGATTAATACGATAAACTAACCTGTCAACCGAGGCCGTTTTTTTACTGTATAGTATACACATACGTACAAAATTCAATTGTGAGACTCAACTGTGCTTTAATACAGTTGTAGTATGATATAAACTTAACATAAATTGATAGACAATTAATGCACGAATCTAAATGATAAACTTAATTTTTCTGAAGATGAGACTATAAAGAAATGCCAAAAGCAATCCAATTTTCATAAATAAAATTATGTAATATTTCCTGTAAAAGTAAAATTAATAATATATTATACATTTTATTATTTACAGGTGAAATAATGTAAATTGATACTTACATCAACAAATTCTTTCTGCTTAGAGGAATGGTCGAATCATCCTCCTTGAAAACAAATCTCCTAAAGCCCAGAATGTAATTTTTTATGTAGTCATTCCAATTGAGTTTTGAGATGTCGAAATTAAAATTCTGAAATTAAATTCCCATTATTTGCATATTTTGCCAATGGTTTTCTGTGGTCATTACGGGAGACTGGTCCCCATTTAGGTGTTTCTAACATAAAGAGAACCCGGAAAATGCCACGTAGCCAGCCCGTTGGGGAGGCACGAACCCGCGATCAATGTTCAATAGTTTTATCTATTTGGCCACTGGGCAGCACGAAATTAGAAAACAAAAGAGAATTTACATTTTAAGTAAAAATATGAGGTAGCTCTTTGTTTTTCTCACTTACGAAAAAGAGGTAAATTCTAATAAAAACCATGTGAATAAATCGACGCAAATATTTCATTCTTCTTTCATAATAACTATAAAAATTTGATAGCAATTCGAAAGAGAGAAATAAAAGAAAATGCTCAGAATTATGTTCTAAATACTGCTGATGTGTACTTAGCTTAATACTGTGTTTGCCAGTAATTCAAAATAGTAGTGTGTTTACTGCTGATTATTGTATAAATTGGCCTAAAAAAAGATGGAAGGTTTTGTTGAGGATTGAAAACCTCATAATCAGGAAAACAGCCCAACTTAAAAGTTTGATTTTCCTGTACAGTACTTCTTCCAACTGAGAACTCTGGGCACCTACTCTTTAGTTATGACCCCGTAAATTTGCTGCTTATTATTGCATAAACTGATATATTAATTCGAATTGTATTTCTAAATAGAGGCCAACCTCCCGTAGAAAGTCCTCTCGGGTGCCATCCTCCCTCGCAGATCGCCCGTGGGTAGCGTTGCTTTATAGCAATAAACGAACAAGACGGGCATTGCTACACTACTTAATTTTAGTGCTGCTGTTAATTAATTACTATTAATTCTATAGTAGCAATAATTGTTTAATTATAAATAAGCCATTCTTGTTAGTATTTCAACAAACGTAATATGGTATTATTTACTCAACGTAGAAAATAATCCCACCTGTTTATCTTGTGTCGACATTGCTTTAAACAGTTCCTCCAGATTATTAGCATGAAACATCCATTCTCTTGTACAGAAATATTGTAACACTTTCATAGTCTTGTGAACTCTTCTGTAGATATTCATCATCCTAAATTGTAAGTAATATGAATATCATTCTAAGTACAAATACGTGACCATATTTAAAAGAACATACATTGGTTTTCTGCCCATAGCAAGTTGAAATATATCGGTTAACATTGCAGGAAACTGATGCTGCATCACAATGCATAGACGATTCCAATAATAGTTTTTCTTGGGGAATTTTGTCGGATATAAAAAGGTGCTCTTCGGGGGATAATTCCAAAAGTTTACGTGTAACAATTCGGTAAACTCGCTCCAAGTCAAAGGATTTATGGTTCTTGAAGTGCAGTTGTATATTGGGATTTCGTCATCTCTGCAAAGAGAATAACAAAGACTTTTCTGAACTGTATTTACGGTTTCTGCATGAAATTCTCGTAATAATTCTTAAATATTTTTTTCGAATAGGAAAAAAAATTTAATTTAAAAATTCCTACTTTGTTCTGTTATCGTGAATATTTTTAATGTTTTCGTTCAGTGAAACCTTTTGAATAATTACCTTCGGTGAGGAATCTTCGCTTTTTTCCAAGCCGCAGCTATTAATAAATTAACCACCATGTCCGCAGGAACTAAATCAATGTATTTATCCTCATCAATTAACATGGTCCTCAAAACTCCTTTCATTCCCTGAAAGTAAGAAACTTTGAAATTTTTTTACGTGTTCAGCAGTATTTAAATATACTTACAGCTGAAATTAAATGATTGGCACCGGTCGAGCTATCGTTCCATCCCTAAATAATAAAATTTGTAGAGGTTACACGCCAACGGATAATTTATTTTCATATATAATATAAAAGTACGGTACTCACGTCAATAGGTTCCTTCCAACTGCAACCCACAATAGAAGGTCTTACAATAACTAAAGGCAAATCTCTACAGAAGTCATTTAAATAATTTTCTATTATGGCCTTTGTTAAAGCGTAAGTGTTAGGTCGACCTTCCAAAATATTTTCATCTGTTACCTCTACTGAAGCGTTATTTCGTACACTACAATTAGAAAAACATGATCATTACGAACGTTTACTAATTAGGGAATATACAGTACGAAGAGAGTGCATTTATAGTGTCATAATGTAATACTTTGCGAGATTCTTAAATTCTTCGTAAGTTCTGGACATAGTATAGATTTTCTCATTAACTTCCTCATTATTGCAGAAAGAATAAGCAGTAGACGTCTCCACTAATACCTGAAATTGTGATATTATATTCATTTTGGTATTATTCGTACACAGCAACGCGACACATGGGCCATCTGTCGAGGGGATGCCTCCTCTGAAGACTTTCTATGAAAAACTGGCCCCTATTTAGGTGTTACTACCGTGAAGAAAACTCGGAAGAATTTCACTTGACTAGCCCGTTGGCATGGCGTAAATGCAAGTACTGTGACAGACAAAATCCTAAAGAACATCACGAAATTTGTTCAATGTAGTTACGAATTTGCATATATAAACATATTACAAACGTTCGATTGACCAGAATTGTTATGAATTAATTTTCAGTTATTGGGCGTGTTGCCTAGTATAGTGGCTTTAATACAGCCGGACAGCGAGCCAATGACATAATGGGTTTCAAATTAAACAGATTACGTCACTGGTTGCTTCTCCAGCCAAAGTAAAGTTGATTTACTAGACATTGCTCGTATTGTTCATTCACAGAAGACATTTTGTGGGTAAGGGTTTTAACAAATATTTTGAACGTGTGCCAATAAAAATACTTCATGAAATATACATTTCTCGCAAATCTCACGAGGTATTTGTGATCACAATATTGAAGTTTGAAAATAGAAACGAACATGGTTCTTAAAACAGGAAACGTTTGCATGCTCTTGTACTCTACATCGAGTCAGTGGCGCATTATTTTGTAGACAAAAAAGACAGTTGCGTGGGAAAACAAACCAGTCTTTTATAAGAAAATGTTTCCCCCCAAAAATTTCCAAAAACAAAAATGTATGAAGTCATCACTGTGCGTGCGGTCCCCTAATTCAATTCCGTCTGGGCTCCAGTAGGCTATAATACACCACTGCATCAAGTCCAACAATAGCCGAGTGGATAAGTTCATTGAAACTGATAATTGGTCAGAAAACTGAGTTTTTTTCCTATGTAAGACCTAAATCCACTTTTTCGGAGGCATCTACTTGGCAGGTGTCACAAGTGTTACATTGCCTTGTTTTGTCAATCAAATCCGATTCTTTACACTAAAAAGCAATCTGTAATGAAAGCATTAAGAAATGTTTACCAGTAAATTTTCCATCTGACGACAAACTTGGATCAGATTTTTTGTCGATTCCACGTTGTTGACGAATGAGTCGCTACAGAAGAAATAAAATTACTTTTGTTACACCAAACACCTAATTTTGCTGAGCTTAAAATTCTTTTATTTTTACAAAGTTTTTCAACCTGTTTACTATAGGCCATATTGTATCAACGTGTAGGACCATCTCAAGGAAAGTAATAGAATTAAATGTGTTGCAACAACTTTGGGTTACAAAATCGCCACAACTGAAGGGCTGATCAAAGGTTACGAAGAAAACCAAGGCAAAAAAGATACTAACTCAGAAAGAATTAACAAATTCACATACAATAGGCATTTAGGACGTGTGTTATTTTAAATGAGTTATTTTTTAAATTTTAAAAATGTAAAAATAGTCGAAAACAGTACGTTCTATTGTGGAACATTTATAATAATAAGCCTGGTGATGGCCTATAGTAAATACAAGGGTAGGTTGAAAACGTTTGTAAAAGTAAAAGAATTTTAAGCTCAGCAAAATAAGGTGTTTGGTAAAACATAAGTGAATTAATTGCCGAGAAAGCGGTGGATGGATAGAAATTAAATACGAAATTTAAAGAATAATTTTATTTCATTTAAAACTTACGGAAAAGGTTCGTTGAATTTAAGCGATGCGGCCAAGTGAAACACCATCGAAACATTTTTCCTTATCAGATTCATATACGAAGAGGAAATTCCCAAATTTTCTTCACAGATATTTCCTTCGATGCATTCGACTTTGTTGCAAATATCCGGATTTTTCAGTAAAACTTTTTCAAAAATCTTTAAGAAATTTTAAAACGATATAGAAATTTCAACACCAAATTTCGTTGAATTAAACAATGTGAGTTACGTCATTGGTGTTAAGCGTTAAAACATTAGGTGTTAACACAATTGTGTTCGTTTTTACTTCGATTTGACGTCGTCATTATACTTTTTGTAATCGGAAAGTGTAATAGTGACGTCAGTTTAGAGAAAAAATCTGTGTATTGTACTTGCCTTTAGGTTTCATAGGTTTTATAACAACTTAAATTTTAACAACACGTTTTTACTTTCAAAATTTACTGAAATACTAATTTTGAATTCATGCCTGAATTTTGATCAACTTTATAACTCACAGAAAAATATAAGTACAGTACATTTGATCCCCCCTATAACACTGTTGATAATTCCGTTTTATTTGAATTCCACGTTGTACGAGTCACTTAGATTTAGGGCTGTGAACGGCTCACGTATTTGTAAAATCTAAGTGACTCGTACAACATGGAATTCTTATAAAACGGAATTATCAACAGTGTTATAGGGGGTCAACTGTAATATATGTAACTCGAGTAATTTATTGAAATTTTTGTTTTATTTTATGAAAATATAGACTATTATTTAAACTTACTTTACAATTAAGCAATTCCTCTTTCCTTTCTTCTACTGTTTTTCCCTTTTTGCATCTGACTAAAATGTAAATTTTTCTAACATTGCAAGACCGTAGCAATTTCTCAATAAGAATCTACAGATATTAAAAACATAAAGTGTAAATATGCTTAAAATATTATCGGTGCATGAAAATCGCCGTAGAAATGCTTACCTTTCCCAAAAATCCCGTTCCTCCAGTTAAAAATATGTCCACATTTTCGTAAAACTTCGATATGGACATTTTTCTTCTATGAATCTACCAAATATTTAGTTGAATATGAACGATAATAAAAGTAAAATATTTGTTCCACAATTCCTTCTTTACTCGATTTTAGAATAAAAGACGCAATATCGGGGTTTCTTTAAATTGTTTTGAATCCGTCCCCTTGGCTAATTGAATTTTAAAAGAAAGCAACTTTATAAGATGTGAAGGTAAAATGAGAACTTCGTTAATTCCAATGATTATTCATTAAGTAATTATTGTACAAGGTTGAAAAATTCCTCGAAATCTACCATTGAAGATATCATTGGAAAAATAGAAGAGTTGCATCAGATCAATCACGGGAATCCTTGGAATCATGGAAGCTGAGATATTC